AAAAAAAAAAAAAAAATTCACCTGGAGAAAAAGCCAGGCCAGAGGTGTGAGGGCAGGGGTTATGTCCAGGTACCAGGTCTTTGCCGGCTCCCAGCCCCGCCAGTGGGGCATGTCCTGGCACCTGGGGGAGGTGGGCGCCCGACTTCTCCAGGGAGGGCGAGAGCCCTGGGAGGGCAGGGCTGGGCTCAGTCCATCTTAGTATCTTTGAAGAGCTCCACTAGGTCCTTGAAGTCAGGGTCAATGAGGTGCGAGGGCAGGTCACCATCATTGTTGGCTGCGTCTCTGTCAGCCCCCAGGGAGATGAGGTACCTGGGGTGCAAAAGGCAGCCCTGGTTACAGCAGGGAGGTCGCTTGGAGGACACACACACACACACACACACACACACGCCAAGGGTAGCAGGGTAGCAGGCAGGGTAACAGGTCCACCTGTGTTTTATTTTCACGAGGAGGAAGAAACCTGACTTCGGAAACTATGGCTGACTTTTCCAGTTTGCTCTAGGGAGGGCAGCAGGGCAGAAAGGAGATTCCAGGAGCCCTTAGGGTTCTCAGTTATACCACTAGGGCCACTTGTGGGGGGATCACATCCTGGAGGTCACTTGAGGCCAGAGGAGTTGAAATTAAGCCCCTGGCCTCGCTCTCTCACCTGGCTATGTCAGGGTACCCATCACTGCAGGCAATGTGCAGGGGCGTCCAGCCCGTCTCATCCCGCTGGTGAATATCGGCCCCATATTTGACCAACAACTTCACACACTCCAGGTTTCCAGAGAGCACCGCTTCATGCAGGGCGGCCATGCCTGCGAAGGGCAAAGCAGGGCAGGCAGGGTCAAGGCCGAGGCCTTTCCCGGCTGCCTCGCAGACCCTCAGCCGGCCCCCCCAGGCACTCACCTGAGGGGTGGATGGTGTCCAGGGTGACTTTCTGAGCCCGGAGGAAGCGCCCCACCTGCTCTAGGTCGCCCTGGCGGATGTGGTCTAGGAACAGGACATCATTAGGGAAGTGTACACTTCGATCAGCCAGCAGCCGCCGGCGCCGCTGCTGTGGGCTGTAGCGGGTGTAGCGGACAGTTCTGCTGGGCATCCTGGGGGCTGTGGCGTGGGCCACTCCTGTGGGACCCTACTGCTCAGAGCAGGAATGTACCCGGCCTGGACCAGACTAGCCTGCCAGCTCTTCTAGCTGATAACGAACTCCACTGCAGCTACCGTGGTGCCCCTCTGCTCCCTCTGTGGCAAGGGCACTTCCCATTTATATAGGCCTGCGGAGCTATATAAAGCTGCGCAGTCATGCTCGCACCATGAGGGGCTGAAACTGAGCTGCTCCCCGCCCGGCGCTCAGCATCATGTTTAGTGGCTCATCTTTCAGCCCACCTGTCGCTGTGTCAGGCCAGAGGAGTCAGATCCTTCCTGGCTACCGTTCCCTGCCCCACAGCTGGACCTAGAAGGTGCCTTACAGAGGGCAGCAGAAGGTACTAGAAGGACAGGGCCCATAAGGAAGGCGAGCAGGTGCCAAGGTCATCAAGAGGGCCCAGGCACCTTCCCCCCACAGTCCCAGGAACTCGGGGAGAAGGGTGTGATGTGTGGTGAGGATGGCTGCCTCCACCACCTGGAAGCAAGGGGCTGCCCACATGTGAGGCAGCACAGGGTCTGACCATGCTGTGGAGAAGGCCCAGCCCTACCCATCGCCATCCCTGTCACTTGTCACCTTCCATCATGGCTTGCATCACTCTCAGAGCAATTTTCCCAAAATGTGGGCCTTGATGGCACTGCCCTCCTGTCGAGAAACCTGCCAGGATAGAGTCTAAATGCCTCAGCTCCTGCTCAGCCCATCCCACCCACCCAGCCCATCGGGAACCCTGCACCCCGGCCCCACGATGCTCTGTTCCCATCCGCCCCGCACCCCCCACACTTCTCCGCGTTCCAGGCTCCTGCCGCTTCCTGTCAAGGACACATATGCTCACACTTAAGGTGGCATCTAGTCTGTTCCCCAAGGATGGGACATCACGTCCCGGGTGGTGTGCACCCTCTGCACCTGGCCCAGTGCAGACTCACCTATAGGAATGCAACTAGGGAATTTTAATAAGACCTTCCAGCAGGCTGGGCCCGTGCCAGCTGCCTTCATCGCAGCAGCCAAGGTCCAAGGTGGGGCTCATGCTCCAGCGGGAGAAGAGGCATTGGATAAGATGTGCACACGGACACATACACAGGAGCTGAGCTGGGCCAGGAGCACGCCTGTGGGGGCAAGGATATACCCGAAGCCCCTGAAGCTGGCTGTATTGATTGCTAGGGCTGCCGTAGCAAAGTGCCAGACTAGGGACCTTAAACAAAAGAAATTTATTCTCTCCTGGTTCTGGAAGCCAGAAGTCCAAGATCAAGGTGTCAGCAGGGTCAGTTCCTTCTGAAGGAGAATCTTCCAGTCCCATCTCCTTGCTTCTGGTAGCAGTCCTTAGTGTTCTCTGACTTGTAAACGCATCGCTCTGATCTCTGCCTTCATGTACATATGGTGTTCTCCCTGTATACATGTCTGTGTCCAAATTTCCCCTTTTTATAAGGACACCAGCCATTGGATTAGGGCCCACCCTACTCTAGTGTGACCCCATCTTGACTAATTACATCTGCAACGATTCCATTTCCAGATAAAGCCATATTCTGAGGTCCTGGGGTTAGTACTTCAATATATGAATATTGGGGGGATGCAGTTCAACCTGTAACACTGGTGAGATCCCCCTGGGTGGTCACTGAAGACCTGAAAGAATACAGAACCAAGACTGGCCAGCATTCTTTGCAGGGGCAGGGCAGGCAGCTTGGTCACCAGCAGCCCTTGCATCACCAGGCTGGTCTTGATCCAACAAAATCAAATCAACAAATGTATTCAACACTCTCTAGGTGCAAAGCCTTGGGCCAAATGCCTCAGAGAAATGGGGCACTGCCTAACACGGACTCCCTGCCCTAATGGAGTTTTCTCAGCCTGCCTCAGCACCCACCGCCCACCAGCCAGGCCAGCCCCATAGGCCTCATGCCACCACTTCCACTCCAGAGTTCCACGGGAACCTCCTCCCAGGTCTGGCCCTGCAGGGGCCCCGAGGAGGGGTGGTTCCCAGTGTTCCTGCATTTTGGGGCTCAGAAGACAGTGCTGGACAGTCATAACTCCTGGGCAGTTGTGAGGAGTCGGGTACAATTTCTTCCAACTTGTTTACACGAAGCCTGGAGACTAAAAGTTCTGCACTGTAGACGGGAGACAGAACTTTCTGTTGATGTGAAAATGGCCTTTTCTGATGTTGTGGAAAGTTCTGTCTGCTCTCCCCACTCAGAAGATCAGATGAAAGAACCCTGAATGTAGCTGCCACCAACAGCATGGCCTTTCCTGGGAGTGACCAGGCCTCGGGCTAGAGACAGTTCAGGGCAAGCTTGTTGGTGACCCCACAAGGGACCCTCTGGTCCATCCTGCTAAAGGTGAGCTGAGAGCTCAGGGAATTTGGCTTTGGGAGTTCTGTTTGGATCAGAGAAGGGACTGGTGCCCAGAGCCTTCCCAGTCACAACAGACCTATGAAAGGTATTCTAGCCAGGACACAGGAACCATGTCCTCCAAACCATGGACACCACCTTGGAAACCTTTCATCAGAAGCCAGCGGTAAGCAGTCTAACCTGCCACCGTGGGCAAAGCCTACATTTCAAGCCACCACGTCAGAACCAAGCCTGTATTTATACAGCTTTGTCCCTGATCCGTGTCTGCCCGTGTGAACTTGTGAAGTGACCTGGTCTGCAGGGTTTTAAGTTTCTGCCTTCTAGAGGACCAAAGCAAACTAAAACATTTAATGCAAAAAGCTTACTTTGAAAAGTGCAAGGATGGGCCGGCTCCATGGCTTAGCGGTTAAGTGCGTGCGCTCTGATGCCGGCGGCCCGGGTTCGGATCCCGGGAGCGCCCCGAGGCACCACTTCTCCGTCCAACGTGAAGCCGAGTCCCACGTACAGCAACTAGAAGGATGTGAACCTATGACATACAACTATCTACTGGGGCTTTGGGGGGAAAAAACTGAATAAATAAAATCTTT